CCAGACCATTCACATTAATGGTTCTGAGGTCCAGATCTGCTGTCTGCAGGGTACGCCTCCAGGCTTCCTTTTTGCCATACACTGTTTCCACCCAGTCCATCTACCTCATCATCTGCTTCTACCCCCACTTTCGACACCTCGTCCTCTACAGCCTTTGCCACTCTTGCACGACCCAATCAACCCTCCCATTGAGAACATTCCTACGCAGGATGCCGCACAGGACTGTGAGCAAGTCATCGTCCGACCAGAACTGGCTGGATTTCACCTTAAGTTGCTGCATTTCTAACAGGCTGTTGTGTGATTGCCAGGCCAGGCCAGGCCAGCCTCTTTGGTTTCGTCAAACAAAATATAGAGGTCCTTGTGAGCCATTTTCAATTGCTCCAAGGAGACGCTCACAGTGCCCACAGCCCCAAGGTCATAATGGCTCTCGATGAAATTCTTAAACCACCAGTACTTGGCCCAGCTATCGGCCGCGGGAAAAAAATAGAGTAGAAACGTTTCTAGTCGGATGAATTTGGGCGCTCCTGTGGTAGCCCGTACTTTTCCTAAAATCGTGGCGCGTTAACGGGCACGACTCTAGGAAGTACTGGTGGTTTAACCTCATTAATGCTTAGCACCCTCTCCTTTTGGAGGTGCCATCCATGTAACGTCACCCCCCCATACGTAGCTGCGTACATATCTTCCGAATCGGCCGGCGAGAGACCCAGCTCCCACCATACGTAGCCACGTACAAATCCCTGTACGTCGGTGCAGGGGAGGCCTCTTTCCATCAAGTGCCTCAGTTTCGCTCTCTTGCAGGACTCCAACCTATCTGTGCCAATTGGCGGGGGCTCCGCCCTCCCCTCCTCCTGGCCCGTCTGGGGCGGAGACGAAGGGTCGATCTGCCAGGTCCAGCTCTTAGGGGTGGTCTTGAGAGGGGGGGGGGAGGAGGGGAAAGAGAAGGAGGGGGAGGGGGGGAGAAGGGTTGTCGGGGGACTGTCCAGGATTCGCTGTCGATGGAGGGGTAAATATATTCTGCACAATAACCCAGATTCTATGAAGCACTCGCTGCCAGGTGGATCCTGGAGGCGGCCCTTGCTCCAGCACCTGCCGCAGGGTCGGACTGCTAATTAGCACCGGAACCAGATGCACGTAGACCTCGTCCCAGAAAACGTTTGTCCCATGCGGGCGTTGCCTTTTCAGCTGTTCCATAATCCATTCAGCCAGACCCTTCAGTTTGGTGTCCGCATCCGTTTCCCCTTGTGGTCCTTCCCATCCTTCCGGGGCGCTGTTCTCCGTTTCCGTGTCAATATCCATCGGCTGAAGCCCGAACGTAAGCTAAACTGGATAAGGCAAACCCCTGCCTTATCCAGTTTAGCTTACAGGCTTCGAGCCTGCGAGTCTTTCGCTACAGACCCCATGCAGCTCTCTGGCTGCTGCCACACCCCTGACTAGCATCAAAGTACTCCTCTAAATTCTACCGGGTTTCTATCAACTACCCTCTCTTAGCTAGGGCAAACCGCACAAAGCACACCATTTTTTTTTTTTTTTTTTTTTTTTTCACAAAGCACACCTATTCTGCAACCAACTACCAAAATCCCAAGTCCTACATCTTACGAGCAGACACACACACCAAAGTACACACTGTCGTAAATATGATTTCGAATTTTTCTGGTAGTCTGTACCAGTATCCCTCAAAAAGAAAAGAGAAAAAAAGAGGGATATAATATATCGCCAAACAGAGCTGCGCGGTAAACCGTAGGCAGAGAGGGAGAGGAGGATAACAAACGAGGGGCTGTGACAAACTGTTTGGTCGGAGTAAATACCAAAGGGCAAACAATACATAGTGTGTGGGTTCTTTGTGGTGTCAATATTTAGCGATTTACATGATTTTTCGAAATTTTCGAAATTTTCCATTTTTTCTGATGAAGCCAAATTCCAGATGCTCGTGCCATCAAGATCGCATGAGGAGGATAACAAACGAGGGGCTGTGACAAACTGTTTGGTCGGAGTAAATACCAAAGGGCAAACAATACATAGTGTGTGGGTTCTTTGTGGTGTCAATATTTAGCGATTTACATGATTTTTCGAAATTTTCGAAATTTTCCATTTTTTCTGATGAAGCCAAATTCCAGATGCTCGTGCCATCAAGATCATGCGCATGAACATGAGCAGTCTCTGCTCAATGCCACTCGGGGGAACCAACGGCATATCTCTGGGTGGAGGGCGCCGAGCTTGCCCAGGAAGGAACATGAGGCCAATGGGGATTGAACCCACGACCTCCTGAATGCCACTTGCATGCCTTACCAAAAACTGTGCTAGGCCGGGGACCGGAGGGGAGGCACATCGACTGGCCCATCGAAGAAGAAGCTCGGTCCTGATGCTACCGTCAAACTGACCCCGGGCCGGTATCGCAACCTGCTGTAGCAGGTACCGCACCTGCTTCTGGTGGGTGGAGGCTTGAGCACGGCTGTGGCTGCTACGGGGTTTCCCGTAGTAATACTATAATGACAATACAAAAGGCCTGAAAGGTCGTCCTGTCCAGATTCGACAGGTACGAATTGAATTGGTTGGGCTTCAAAGACTTAGCCTTCAAAAAAAAAAAAAAAAAAAAAAAAATCATGCATGAATGCCATGAAACTCATAATGCTCAATCATTTTAAGAAGGGAAACATTTTCAAAAAAGCTCCATCACGAGTCACGACCAATGACAATTGCAAACTGATAGCCAAGTACTCTGTTGTCTTCCGAAGAGAAGAGAAGGCACACTGTCAGTCATTATCGCTGTATCAAGACTGAAAGCTGGCCCAAATACGGCGGCTATAGTGACCACACATTCTATCTGGATGACAACAGCAGTAACAAGACGAAGGAAGAAGAGCGGGAGGCGGAGGAGGGAGTTGAGGAGGGAGAGGAGGAGGGAGAAGAGGAGGACGAGGAGCAAAAACTCAAAATAAGAGTGAATTCATATCCCCATCTTTTTTCAACCTCAGCCTTCTACCACCGAGTACTCCTCTCTCTTCTCGCCACATCGACAATCATTAACTATTCATCATCCATCCCAACTCTCGTCTTCACCTGGATAAAACACCCTGCCATTATCACTGTATCTAGACTGAAAATTGCACCAAATACAACTGACAT